AGATCATGATGTTGAAATAGTTAGTTTTAGTTACATATTAGTTTTTGAGTTGCAATAATATTGAGATATTACTTTGTGTGATTAGGTTGGAAGGAGATATATGGTTGGTTAGTTTTGAGTTATATATTCTAAAGTGGAGAGGTCATGTTGAAATTTGTACTGATTATTATTTGTGTGTTTTGAGTCTAAGGCTAGTTTTTTAGTTAAGTTTTAGAATAGATATTGCATTTGATATGAACGTGTTAAGAGTTTTAGTTGCATATCAATTAGCTAATTTTAATTGCAATATTGAAATATTATCATAGATCTAAAGGAAATATAGTTGGTTAGCCACGTCTCGGCAACCAACTATTTTTTTAATTAAATTATTCACGAAATAATGACGGTCAATGTCTGTCATGAAATATAGTCATTTCACAACGAACATACGAGAAGTAGATACAATGACGTACATACAATGACGCTCAAATGATGACGTACAAACAATGACGCACAAACGATGACATACAAACAATGTCGCACATATAATGACGGGTAAAAACCACCATGCAAAATTAAACGAAACAAGGACACTCGTAAAGATGTCGGTCAATGCCCGTCATTGTTATCCTTCCATGACGGGTATGCCCGTCATGGAAAGGAAGATTCACATGACGGGCAATGCCCGTCATGAAAAGGCCAATGTGTTGTAGTGCGGACTCAATATAAAGTTCGAGGAGAAATTTGATACCTGGGATGGAAATGGGGTCTTCTATTTATAGGCGTGGGGTTCGACAGACCTTATGATCGGCGGTTATCTTTGTCGTTTCGCATATCGAACCTATCGGGTCACTCAGGTCGAACTCGAGCTAGTCGAACCGTTTAGCAAGTAGGAAATTGTGCTAAAAATGGCTATGTCTCTCACCTAAGTCGGTTCGAGGTGGAGCTGCCAAGTTATGCAAGCTTATTTCGGCAAATATCTGTCCTCCACGTGGCATCACAATTTCTTCCACCAAACATAACTAGTACAAAGTTCAAGAAGAAATCGAAGAGGTTCAAATAGAATGTGCAAGTTTTGTTGGAAGATTTAGGTAGGCTTACTTATGGATGCATCAATTTTGTTTGTTTGATGTTAAATAGTTGAGTTACTTTTTGTCTAGAATTGAAATACTTATAACTGTTGGATATGTTGTTAAATGTAGTTTGTGGAGGGATGAGTGGTCGTATTACAATTATATTACATGTATAGAAGTGTGAGATGTTGTTGTTGAATTTTGATTTGTCAATGGATGGGTTGTCATACTTGTTTTATGTTTACTTATGTGTGTTATAGAAGTAAAAAAATAAATAAATAAAAAGTGTTACATCTTATCGTATTTCAGGTGTTGATTTGGTTTATTTTCGTAGAAGCCATGTTGAAATTTTGACTTTTTTTAAAGTTAAATTTGATAAATGAGTATTAAGCCTTTATTGTAACTTTATTAGAATATATTAATGAGATTCTTGGAGTGTGGATAAGTTATATATCTTGAATATAACTAGTTAGTTAACTATTGTGTAAAAGACTATTGAGATTTGTGCATAACACCAGAAACGAGAAAGGATTGTTGGTTTGCCCACATGAGAAACAAAATTTTTTTTTATTAAATTATTAACCAAATGATTACGGGCATTGCATGTCATTGAAAATGTATAAATAATGACAGACATATTTAATGGCGGATAGCTACAATAACAATTAAATAGATGTTGGTCCACGACGGACATCATAAGCAACTGTCATTGTAGGCTACAATGTCGGTCGTCTATAATGACAGGCTACGTCCGTCATTAATATTTGTTCGATATAAAAACCTACAATAACACTCGATGTCCAACATCGTTGCCCTTTAATGACGGGTCATGCCCGTCATTAAAACCCGATTTTGTAGTAGTGTGCAGAATCTAGGGCAATCTACCACTACATTTGCGAGAAGCACGAAGGAACCCAACCATAAATAATCCCAACACGGACTAAAGTTGTCAAACGAAGGAGAGCCAACGGCAATTCCAATATTTTGTTATATTTTCAAATTTAGAAAGAGGGTGACATTTTTTAAATATATAAAATAATTTTGCTAGCCAATGTAATTATCCTTATTTTTGTTATTTTTTCGTGAAAAGAATATTAAAAGTATTATTAAAAAAATTGGCAGTCATGGTTCTTCCCCAACATCGGTCCGATCCGACCCTGGAGGAGGGTATGGGAAATTCTGTACTCGGAGGTTCGATGAAATTTCTTTTGTAGCAATCGGAAAATAAAAATGGGAAATTTTTTTCTTATTTTCCGAAGGATATTTCTGTAATTTTGTTTCCACATAAATATTGACAATGACACTTTTTGTTTTAATTATTTTTCTTTTGTAGTGCGAATGAGATTAAAGTAAAAATTTATTAATTTTTTCTAGTGTACAAATTGAATTTTTTTTCCTCAAATTTTATAAGATAGGGCAAATGGACGAAATTTTCCTTTCACCACAACTTTTCGTTTTTTGTTTAAAAATATAGGTGACAGTATCTTTTTTCTTGTTACATTTGAGTTTGAGATTAATTTAGATTAATCTATTTTAGTACAATTTTTTACTTGCTACTATATTTGAAAAGACATAATCTATTTATATATGGAAATCATCTATATTTTATTTTTAAGGTGGTCGTGGTTAAGAATGTTCATTCTTCCATTAAATGGGGTAAGGATGAGAATACGCTCCCCATCCACACACATAGTATGTGCAATGACCATTAAAATGAAATATTTTTACTTAGTGGTTTAAGAATTGTTTTGAAGAGAATTTAACAGGTAAATAAGGATTTATTTTCATTGAGAATTAATTTTCATTGAGACGTAAGCAATTAAAAATTGATTTTTAAAAAATTTAAAATAAGTAATGGAGAATAATTTTACGGATGGAGAATTAAATGAGAGACAGAGACGGGGAAGCCTTCCAGTACCCGCCGTGTGAACACCCCTCATCATGGTTGACACCAATTCCACAGAGCAATTAAGTTTGCTTGGTCATAAATTGTGTGGAAATTTTGCGCCGGACGAAGCACTAAATGGGCAAGAGCAGAAGGCAAGTGAAGGAGAAGCCACCAATCCCATTTATTTTTCAATCTTCTTGTGTAACTGTTTGCTCCAACTTTTCCCTCCATCGTCATGCAGGTCTTTCCACCTGCTCTATTGTATTTCTTGCAATCATGGTCATTTGGACTTACTTTCTTGCTTCCTATCTTCAGTTTTACTCTGCAAGTTATTCTCATTCCTATGGGGTTGCGTAGAAAGTACAGCTCCAACAATGCCCTCCGCTTGCTTCTGTTGCTTTTTTATTTGTCCGCAGACTGGGCCGCCACCACTTCGCTCGGCACCCTCGTTAAGTTCTATGGCAGCTACGAAGATGCCTTCTTCGGACGACTCTTCATCTTGGCGCCATTTATGCTGCTCCACCTCGGTGGCTCGGACACCATTACCGCCTACTCCATGGAAGACAACGATCTCTGGTACAGGTCCTTTTTTGGTTTCTTTGTTCAAGTTGGGATCGCGTTTTACATCCTTCTACTAGCTTTGCAACCCCAACATCTGGATTTTTTGGGGATTCCTATATTTGTGGCTGGGATCATCAAATATGGCGAGAGGATTTGGGTTTTCAGATCTACTTCTACCCAGCGCCTGCCAGACCTATTGCTTTCAACTACTCGTTTCAGTCCTATACAAATCAACGCTGCAAAGTCTAAGCATTTGCATCTTGAATTTCCCATACAAATCAACGTCGATCATGAAGCCACACAAAACCCTCATTTCAGTCACCTTCACTTGCTGCATATTGCTTATTATTTCTTCAAAACAAACAAATTCCTGTTTGTAGATTTGACTCTGACCTCCTATGATCTTCAACAAAGCCTTCACTACTTTATGCAATTTGACTCTAGAGAAGCTTTCAAAGTCATTGAGCTTGAGCTTGGATTTATGTATGATTTCTTCTACACAAAAGCCTCAATCATCCATTCTCGTTGGGGTCCTATTCTTCGTCTTACTACCTTATTTTCCATTGTTGTTGTCATTGTCACCTTTCATATAGACCACTTCGATCCTGGATTTAATAATCCATTGACCAATATTTTGACATTAATCCTGCTCTATGGAGCTTTGAGTCTTGAGATCTCTTCGTTTATTTTGTTTCTATGCTCAGACTGGAATGTAATCCGGTTGACCAAGAGCTCTTACTCTCTCGCTCATTTGACATTTAAAGCTATCTCTCGTTGCGGATGGTCTGTCAAAAAATATAGGTGGTCAAATTCTGTTCGACAGTACAATTTAATATCTTGTTGCTTGAAAGAGACCAAATATGGGAGATACTGCAAGTACTTTAGAACTTCTTACATCTCCAAAATCATGACAGCTTCACGAAACATCTCTGATGAACTCAAAACACGGATCTTTCAACAACTAACGCAAAAGTTGGAAGTTAATGAAGAGAACAGAAAGCTACCTGGTTGGATTCTAAGAAAGCACAACTGTTATAACCAACTTGGCTGGAGTCTGGAATTAGATTCCGACCAGAGCATCCTCCTCTGGCACATTGCTACCAATATCTGCTATCATCGTGATAAAGAAACTGAGGCATCAAATTGTTCTCTTCTTGAGGATGGCACATTGCTGTCTGATTTTTTGACCTACCTTTTAGTGTATCATCATTCGTTATTTCTCGATGGGATGAGTGAAATAAGATTTTGTGAAACTGTTGACAGTGCAATTGAATTTATGCAGCAGAGAAAATCCATAGAAACAACTAGTGATGCTTGTAAGAGTATGTTGGATTTGGAGACGAGTACGGTGTACAAAGATGCTGGCAACTCAGTCTTCTTTGGTGGGTGTCGGTTGGCGCGAGAGCTTCAAGGGCTAGAAGGGTGTGAGAGATGGGAAATAATCAACCATGTGTGGGTAGAGATGCTTGCTAATATTTCATGTGAATGCAGATGGTATGAGCATGCTAAGAAGCTCAGACATGGCGGTAATTTGCTCACTCATGTTTGGCTTTTGATGCACCATCTTGGATATATCAAACCAGCCAACCTCTCCACTATGCAAGATCAACAAGATGAGATCCTAGATCATGTGGTGGACCAACCGGACAACCTCCACACCCCGCAGGATACACCATTGGAATGATGAAATAGTTGATTATGTGGTGGATCATATGTCAGATTGTATGTCCAAATCCAAATTCCAAGTAATATTTGAAAGACTTTTAATTCGTGAAGTTATTGATTATTTCTAATTTATCTAATTTAGGTATTTGTTATTATTTAAGTTCAATAGTTTATTGAGTTTATTGTTTCTAATTGCTAAGGCTCCATTTGATAACTATTTTTGTTTTTGGTTTTTAGTTTTTAGTTTTTTTTCCTCTATTTTTTTTAATAAAAACTATATATGTTTGATAACTGTTTTTGTTTTTAAAAAACAAAAAAAATCAAACATTTGTTTGTAACCATTTTTAGTTTTCTGTTTTTAGAAAGTTAAAAAATTGAAAATATGTATTAAAGAGAAAATTTTATGTAGAGTATAAATGACAATGATGTTGGGCGGGAGTGAAGATGCACTCTTCTATTCTCGTGCTCATGAAAAGTTTTAGTCTACCATATCCACATCGTTCTTCATTTTGGGAATCGAGAACTAGGTTAAAGAACCCTTTTTTGGGGACGCGAATATTCGCGAGAAAATTACCATTTTATAATTAATTTGAATTATTTGTACAATTAAAAAAAGGTGTGATAAATATATATTTATTATTTTTAGAATCGTTATTTAATAATCAATTTTTAAAAATATTTAATATTTTATTCACAATTTAGTAAATATGTTAATAAAATATATTAATTATTTAAAAAATATAATGTTTGGGACATCAATTTTCTATTTTTGGAGTGGAACTTGACCAATGTAGAGACACAAAAATAGAGGTTTAGAGAGATAGAAAAAAACTTTTTAAATAGAAATTTTAGAGGGATAAAAAAACAAATTTAGAACAAAAAAAAATAATGAAAGACAATTTAAAGAAAAAAAGAGAAAAATTTTAGAGGAAAAAAATAAAGTTGGGAGGAAAAGATACGTAATGAAAAGAAAGAGAAAAATTATAGCGAGAAAAAATTTAAAGATAAAAACAATATTCAAAATATACCTTTTACAGAAAATAAATAAATAAAAATTATAGTGAAAAAAACTGAACAAGAAAATAAAATATAATTTTTAGAGGAAAAATAGATTGACAAGAGAAAGAAAATTTTAAAAAGCGAATTTGTAAAGAGAGAAAAGTTCGAGAAAATATTAATTTTAAGAGAGAAATGAGAGTGATCTGTTAGAATAAAAACAATAAAAATACATAAAGATGAAATTTTGGATAGAGAAATAATAAAAAATAGGGTAAAATATACTTTTAATCCCTGAGTTTTGAGTTAGGTATCAATTTGGTCATGAAGTTCAAAAAGCGACACTTTAGTCCCTAGGGTTTGAGAAATGATTCTAAATGGTCCTCGAGTCAATTTTACTGTTAGCTTGACTAACTTAGTTAACTCAAATCGCAAGTTTGATTTTTTTGGTTTTTGAATTTGTGTAGTCGAAGTCCTAGTTTCTAGGGAGTTGTTCGGTTTATTTTTTGTTATAGTTAAGTCAACTAGGTAGGTTGCTATTCTTATGGCTAGTGGAGTAGTTGAATTTTATGTGCAATTAGTTGTGTAACGCCCCAGAATTTCCCACACGCTTCTAGGTCACGTTAACTACCCAACTAGTTAAACTTAACCCCCAAATACGGCATGCCAACCCCTTAAGCAAACAAGTATATATACATCAAGTCCCAATTCTCATCAAATTAACAATATAACAATCTCCCAGAGTAGCATTCAAGACCATTCGTGGACCACCCCATGAGACAAGTTTATTAATCAAACTGGCAAAACTCAATAAATGGAATAGAACTAAGATAGTCACCCATCCTCGAAATGAAACTAACAACAAAGGGGAACCTCCCAATTATTCAGATACGACAAAGGTTTATTGACCATAACATAAGGTCTTAACCAATCACCTAAACTAAGCAAGAGTGACTAAGTAGCCTATGGTCCCCGCTCGTCATGTCTCCTTCGTCCCATCACCATGGTCGCCCACGAGTCCTTGACC